GAATCTAGAATTTAAATTTTACATATTATAACTTGAAATTTTGCTACATTCCATTTTATTTAACTCTATTATATATAGAATAATGTCTTCTTAACATGAGATTTTTACCCAACACAACAGCCCAATAGAACAAAAACAAAATCAAAATCAGAATCTCAATATTTATTTTTTAAAAATATTTTTTGTCAGTATATATAGTATTGATTATACACTTGTTATATGTACTACTACAATTTATTAATCTCTCTACTAATTATGGTACGTGTAAATATTTTGTAACATAATTAATGTAGCTTAACATGTAAATTGTAATAGTAGTAATTATTAAGTTATAGTACTATTTCTTTTATCAAGTACGTACTTACAAATTATTTGATAAATATATTTTACATCGTCAGTACATATACGACACGAATAAATAATAATTTATCTATGTTGTGCAGTTTATTTCCTACTTCCTTGTTTCTGGAGCAGCAGCAAGTTTTGGTATGACACAAGAATTTAAGAGACTTGCAGGCAGTGATAATAAATTTCTCAATACTTCAAATGCAGCAGCCAGTCTTTGTCTTATTGGATTCTTTTTTTGCTGCTGCTTCATCTATTTTTTCATCTTATAATCTTCCTAAGAGAGCTTAATTTAAGGAAAAAATAAAAATCTTAGTTTAATAATTTGATAAATTAATTATTGTAAGATTATGAACTCTTTTTTTTGGGTCTACACTTGGTCAAAAGGTGTGTCATGTAATGTTGAGTTACAATTTATATTTTAAAAATGTAATCCTAATGTATGATTTTTAGTTTTTTTTTTTTTTTTTGGTTGAGAATTGTCTTCAATTTCAGATATTGTATTTTCCAGTCTTTTTTATGTAGAAAATATGTTACTCCCTCCGTCTCATATTATATGTCACATTTTTCATTTGCACTTGCATTAAGAAATAAAATAATTTTACCTTTATGCCCTTATTTAATATTTGCTTATGACAACTTTGTAATAAATAATGAAATGTTAGATTTCAAATATATAAATGCATTTGGATGACTATTTAAATTTTACTTTTTGGAGCCAAATTTGACCAATTGATACAAAAATTTTAAAAAATCAAGTTTTTCCCACCTCAATTTTCCCATATATTTTGTGTAAAATATTTTTTATATATATATTTTTATATATAAATTCTTAAAGCAAACATAACAACATCACAAAAATTTGTTGAAGCTTCAACTTTCAAGATTATTTTTGAATATTTTTTCATCTTTTATTTTTAATTTGTTTGTTGATATTTTTTTTCAAAATCATATTTTATACAATAAGTAGTTAATTAATGAATGAAGTACTCTCCCAATGAAATTAATTACTTGTAGATTTCTAGGTTAGTCAAAGTAAATACATTTTCAGATTAATTAATTAATCAATCAAGGGTATAATGGGCAAAATATGGTAATTTATGCATAAATTTTATAAAATGACATATATTATGGTCCATCTATTTTTAAAAAGGGATGACATATAATATGGGACGGAGGGAGTATATATATATATATATATGGACTATTTATAAACTGATATTCCCACCCAATTATGGAATGATACAATTTAAATTAATTATATTAAAACTGAACATGTGTTTATGGTCTTTTTTATGTAGAAAATATGTTATATATATATATATATATATGGACTATTTATAAACTGATATTCCCACCCAATTATGGAATGATACAATTTAAATTAATTATATTAAAACTGAACATGTGTTTTTGGTCTTTTACGTCGAAAATATGTTATATCTATGGACTATTTATAAACTGATATTCCCACCCAATTATGGAATGGTACAAATTTAGCATAAGACATGAATAATTTATACGTGACTAAGAGCCTGTTTGGATTCGCTAATAAGAACTTCTTACTTTGAGAAATACCTTTTTAAAATATTTTTTTTGAAAAGTGCTTTTGAAAAAAAGTTATTTGTGTTTGGTTAATTCATTTGAAAAGTGCTTTTGATAAGTGGATTGTGTTTGACTAATTTTTTTTAAAAAAAAATACTTTTGAGAGTCAAATTACGAAAAATAACAAATATCAATGCATTTTTAATATTAAGTTTATCTTAAATATCTATTATATAATTTTTATTAAATTAAAATATACACACTCAAATTTTCAATTAATATTATACATAGATGAATAAAAAAATAAATTTAATATTGATATAATATTAACATGATGATTTAAATATAATTAAAAATATCAAGTAAAATAAATCTAAAATTATCTCACAAATTAAATCACTACACACGAAAAACTCATCACAAAAATAAATAAATAAATATAAGAGATACATTAGTAAATATGTATATATGATAGGAATATTTTGTTCTTGAAATAAATAATTTTCTGCTCCTCTGCTTATTTTTAAGAAGCAGAGATTTTTTTTTTTAGCTTCTTCCCGGCAGAAAAACTACTTCTGCTTTTATTTAAAAGCAGTTTTATGATTAGCCAAATACCTTATTTTTTAAAAATAAATACTTTTTTAATCAAAATAAATAATTTTAGTGTCCCAACAACAATACCAAACATGCTCTAAATGATTAATCCTTAATACTTATAGTAGTAAATTGGTAACTATTCACGAGCAAAGAGACAAAATGAAGAAATATGATTGAAAGGATACCAAATAATTGGCTTTGACTTCTTTTTTTAATTTTAAAATTTTGACTCAACTAATTTAAATTTTCTCTACATAATAAATCTATTAAAGAAAAAATGTTCATGCGGATCGAAAGTCTTTTTATTCGTATGGCCAAGGGCGGCTCAACATGATTAGTGGCCTAAAGCGAAATTTCAATTCGGGGCCTAAAATATAATCAAACTTCATATACATATTTATTCAAAATTTATTTTTCTTACACTATTTAGATGAAAATTATTAGTATTTTAATATTGTTTTCTTAGTTATTAGTTTTAGGTAAGATTTTATCAACTCAACATTGAAAAACGTCCTTTTAGTGAGACAATTATTATATGAATTGTTAACATAATTATACAAGTAATAAGTTGATAAATATTAAATAGAGATAAGATTTAGAATCATAGAATTTGACGCAAGAAGTTGATGACTTGGTATACCCCATTTTAATATGATTGTAGTAATGCTTGAAACTAAAATTTAAAATGAAATAAAAAAGAATTTGTAATTCACTTTGTTCAACACTTTTCACTATTAATTCTTATTTTTAACAAAGTACAAAAGATGTTAAAATGGGTAAAATAATATATTTTTAAAAAAATTACTTTTTATCATAAATAATCAATTTTTTCTATAAAAATTTTAACACATAATTTATTCTTGATTTTGGGGCCCCCGAAATTTGGGGGCCTAAGGCAAAAGCCTTATTTCCCAAAGCATAGAGCCGGCACTGCGTATGGCTCAACGCTAGATTTTTAGTAGTTAAAAACAGAAGTAGGAGCTACATAATTAACCCATAAAATCATTACTCATCCTTTCTATTTTAGATTCGAACAAAAGTTAATTAATGACTAACAAATTTCACTAACTCAATCTATTTCAATCCGTTTAATTTAAGTCAATATAATTGAGTACTCCATTTTTTTGTGAGGAATACTAGGTATTCGTGGCCAGCCTCACTAATTTTTTTTTATCAAAAGTCAATGAAATACCAGCTCATTTTTCTTAGAAGAAAAATCCACATTTTATTAGTAACTTAAACCGATTCTTTAGGATTAGTAGAATATTATATTTAACTTTAGAATGATGAGCTGTTTCTATGAAAAATAAACACAACTAATCGCTAGATTAATCAAGTAACCAATTACAATATGGGCTCGCACTAAGGCATTATTTGTCCTCGTTGAAATTAAGATGTATGAATTTGATTGTATATTTGAATGATTAAAATATTGTCTCTGAACAAGAAATAATTAAATATATTTATTTTTTAATATTTGAATATACACAATTTATTTATTTGTAGATCTAATAAATATACAATTCAAAATAAAAATAATTAAATATTAAAAATATATAAATTTAATTAAAAAAAAGTTCATTTATTAAATTTTTAAATATTTATATTTTCTAGATGGTGGAGATTGTTTGTAGCAGTGGTAGTGGTAATAGTTGGTGTTAATGGCTAAAAATAGTGGTGAAGATAATTATGATAGTTGATATTAGTGGTGATGGTTGTGATGATGAAGTTAGTTGATATTTGTCGGTGTTGATAGTAATAGATGATGGATGTGTGGTGTTTGATGATCTATTGATGGTAATTGACAGTAATGCTAATTGTGATGATGACAATGATTGATATAATAGGAATTGTCTGCAGTGGTATTGGAGGTGGCCAATGGGCGATAGTGATTATAGAGGTGGTTAGTGGCGGCGACTTGTAGTTGTAGACAAGTGGTGGTAATTATAACTATCCAAACAAAATTACCTTTTAATAATATTAATATTAAAACTTTGTTCAAAATTTTAATGACGGAAATTTATTGAGATAAAAAAAGTGCTTAAATCTTAATAGAAGAAAAAACACTTAAAAGCCTATGGTGTTAAACCATTCAAATTCAAACATTTGTTACTTGAATTGGATGGTTATTACATGTTAATTTGTATTATATTATACTACTAATTTAAATATTATATTATTTTAATTATTATTTAAATTTTATTATATCATATTATTTAAATTGATCGTTACTAATACTTCTTCAACTTACGCGTCAATTAGGATAAATCGAAAGCAAGCAAAAGGAATATATGTCCCAAAAAAAATTCAAAGTAAACTCTCTACATGTGGAAGCCGTAATAATATCAATTATAAAATACAAAATGGAATTGAGTTGTATATTAATTTTTGACTAAGACAAAGTCAACAATTTTTATTTTTTTTTGGAATTATCCTTTTTATTTTTCTATATATAAGCAAACATATCTCAAAGTATTATTCACTACAAAGAAAACCTTCTTTTTGTTATCAAAATATTTTAATTACTTCTTCTTGTTATAATAATAATTTATATTCGAGAAGAATTTTTATAGTTCACGAGAAAGTGAAATGGCACCACCACCATTACCATCAACCACTATTGTTCCGCCGTTTGTCAGCCTCATTGTGAGGGTTGTTACTTTGATTTTCTTGTTGATTTCACTCATCGTGATCGCCACCAACAGTTATACTATTACTGTCAGTTTTATTGATATCAAAACCAAGTCTACCGACTTTTATGCTTACAGGTAAAATTAATTTCCACTACTTCACTATAAAATACATGATATTTTTATAAAATCTATTCGTTAAAAACATTTTCGATGGAATTCATGTTCTTTTAGTAATTAATGAGTTAAGTCTATAACAATAACTTGTCTCTGTTTCAAATAAATTGGAATCAACTATAAGAGTCAATCATTTTGTCATTTAAGTTTATTTCATATCATCCTCATCATCATACTTTCTGTATTATGAAGATTCATCATGAATTAACAAGTTTTATGTTGGTTGTCGATCTATCGCAACCCCCTTTCTTTATACGCATTTGAAATCGACAGTGCAAACAAGCTCACACCACCGCGAAATTAATGAGTTTTATTAGTCTAATTTTTTTATATATTGTTTTTTTTTTTTTTTGGAATTTGCAGATATTTGATTTCTACTGTGGTTATTGGAATGGCATATACTCTTCTCCAAACTGCATTTTCAATTTTTTTTGTGACCACTGGAAATCGACTAGGTGGTGAGGGTTTCTGTCTATTAGACTTCTATGGTGACAAGGTACATTAATTTTCCTTATCCCTTTTTTTGTTTTTATATATCGTAACGAATTTAGAATTTAAATTAACAAAAACAAATTCCTAATCTTTGTTTATCAAATAATTTTTTTCTAGTATATAATCATCGTATACATTGATTATACACTTGTTATGTACTAAAAACCGTGTATATATATATATAAGATTTGACCTAAAGCTAGAACCAACATCTTCTTCCTTATACGTGTAATTAAAAATTTTGTAACCGAATAGTGTAGCGTAACATATGATATAGTAATAGTACGTATTTCTGTAGATATATTTTATACTGTCAGTGCATACGATTCGAGTAAAATAATTTTATTTATTTATTTGTGCAGTTTATTTCCTACTTCCTTGCAACTGGAGCAGCAGCAAGTTTTGCAATGACAGAAGAATTGAGGAGACTTTCAAACAGTGATATCGATAAATTTCTCAACACTTCAAATGCTGCAGCCAGTCTTTGTCTTTTTGGATTCTTTTTTTCTGCTGCTTCATCTATTTTTTCATCTTATAATCTTCCAAAAAGAGCTTGATGTAAAAATAAAAATATAAAAAAAAATAATTTTCTTTATTTTTATATATAAGTGGATTGATTTTGAGGGATTATTTCAAGATTCTTTTGTAACATATTTGGGTCAAGTCATACAGTGTTGGGTTGTAATGTGTATTTAAATTGTATCTATATTGTTAAGTAAAGTTGGTGACGTTTGTGTTATTGTTATTAATTTCTTATGTAATTTTTGTTTTGAGAATTGTGTTGTATTTGGTGTTTTCATGTATATTGTCATTCTAGTAATTGTATTTTGCGCAGTGTGTTATTGTGTCCCTTTGTGTGGAAAATATGTTATATTGATTATTTATAGAATGATTTTATAGGCATAACTATTTCAATAGTGCAAATTTAATACGTAAAATTATTGAAATACACGTCTTATATTTCCCTTATTTCTAATATTCCCTTCTATTTGTAAAATTCTCTAAAATTCCTTATTTCTCTCCTAATTCTAAATTATTTTATAATGTATCCAAGCTACATATTATGTATCCGGTTTATTTTATAATGTATCCGAGCTAGTTTTTAATGTATCTGGTTTGTTTTACCTTTTCAGGGATTAATGTAATTACAAACTAAATAGGATTAAATTGTAATTTCATATTAAAACTATGTGATTCCTAAAATTTATACTTAAATACAAGATATGGATAACTAAAAATAATGTTTTGGGATACATGGGCTCACGAGTGGTGTTGGGCTCAGGCAACAGATGCATGAAAATCGAGTGAAATTTGTCCAGTAGGACATGTTACTTGTTAATAATAGTTTAAGGTCCGTTTATGCGCACACAAAATTGGAGAATATAAATACTAATTATGGCTAAGTTAAAAAATATGTTTATATATTATGTCTACGTCTTAAGACATAAATAAGAATAAATAATCAAAAACCTCTTCTAATTAATATTTTCTTAAGGATACTTATGTTGGATTACCATAACGTTTGTGGTACTCCTTTTATTAATTTTTAGCAATTCTTTCCTCATAAACTAGTTTTTGTGGTTGAGTCAGGCCCTAAATTTATTTCATGATATCAGAGTCAGTATATCCCAATTTATTATTTTTTATGTTGACCCCCCCACCTCTATCTTATATTATTCACGCTCTATATATCTAGTCCTAGGCGTGCGGGAGTGTTGGAGTCTCACATTGTTTATGTGATGGGTGTTCAGTCTCTTTATATGGTCTTGTCCTCTCCATGAGTTAACTTTTGGGATTGAATTATACCTAAAATTCACTTTTTTACGAGTGCTTATACAATTTGTCACAACTATCCCTCCTCATGACCTAACTTTTGAATAAGCTAGACTCAAGATTCATTTATTTATCGATGTAAAGAAAAACATGATAACAATCTTTCTCTTATGTCTAGTTTTATATAATTCTCCACTCATGACCTAGCTTTTGGATAAGTTAGACTTAAGATCCATTTTTTTATTGATGTAAAAGAAAACACGACAACAATCCTCCACTCATGAACAAGCTTTACTCAATTCTCTCTTCGTGAGCTAACTTTTGGACTTGATATAGATTCAATATCTATTTCTTTATCCATGTAAATAAAATTACTATAAATAATTTGAGACGTACAAATACAATTTTTTTTTAAAGTCTCTTAATATTTATTTAGTACATGAGTAATTTCAATTCTTTATTAACGGGTAGAAAAAAAACTTTAATAATTAATGTTGTTAAATAAATTTTCTTTATCCTTTATTCTTCTTCTTCTTCTTCTTCTTTATACTCTATAGTGCAGAACAGAGGAGTTGCAGAACTCCATTCTTCGTCTTCTTTAACTGGAAAAACTTTTGATTGATAAAAGCAAAAAAAAATTATGAACAGAAAATTCGGTGGTGGGAAGCCGCCAACAGGAACTCCATCAATGGCTTGGTCGACTGTAGTTGTTGTTGTTTCTCTCCTTGCTGGTGCCTCCGTCGTCCACAACTTTTTCAAACCTGATCTGGTAGTGTCTCTTTCTCAATTTCGTTTTACTTCTAGAAAATCCCTAAAAATTGATTGATTATTGAAGTGATATGGACTCAAATGAAGTGATTCGGTATTGAGAATTTGTATGGTTTGTAACAATCGTTGAAAACTTGTATAGCTGATCCAACTTGTTTGAATATAGATATAATAATATGCTTATGAGGTTAGCGAGTTTGTTATGTGGACTGTTACCTGTTTGATAAAATGCCTCTATGAAATTACTGCTATGTAATCACTGATGCTAGTTTAAAGACATATTTGTGCCATCTTTGAACTAGGCTTAGTTATAAAATTGAATTTATTATGAAGTACATTATGTATGAGTATAGAATTTACATGAAATTTAGATGTATTAATTTGCATGTTTTTCTAGCAAGTGTGAAAAGTCTGTGGTCTTTTTTCCTATGTCTTTTACTTGTTTGATATAATGTCCCTTTGAGTTTATGGCCATCTTATAATATGTTGATCGGACTATTCAAAAATGTCACCAAGGATCCTTCAAACATAGTGTGTTATTTAAGGATCTGACACGGGTGTGACAACATTTTTGGAGAGACTGAGCAACTTAATTATAAATGATCCTAGTTGGGAAATGTTAAACTACTAATTAGTGGATTGCATCTCTAGATGCGCACAAGCTGACTTCCTTTGTAAAGCCAGCAAAGAACTTTTGGGTATATGATGTCCGGCGTCCAGAACTTTATCAAATCTGATCTGGTTACTCCCCCTTGACTTTTTCCCTTTACACTTTGGCTTCAGGTTTAGAAACCCATAATTTGTCCTGCAAAAAGGAAAAAAAAAGTGATATAGGAATGATATGGGCCCAAATGAAGTGGATTCAATATTGAGAATTCGTATGGTTTGTACCAACTGGTGAGGATTTTTTTAGCTGAATTATTTTGGGATTGAGACTTCGTAAGTGAAGATTTTGACGCTTATGCTGTCCAAAAGTATGTTTAAGTTGGTGTTTGATGTATAACAACATTAGTATTAGGACATTTAGTTGTGTTATTTGTGATATGATTATCTAGCAAGGGTGGACGCTTTGGCCTTTCTTCTATTTCATTTACCTGTTTGATAGAATGCCCTTTTGAAAATCTGGTTATCCAATAAATGGTTCTGGTTTAAAACAAATTGTGCCATATCTGGACTATATTTAGCTATGAAATTGAAAATTTTGTGGGTATAGTATGATGTATGAGTACACATGTTTTCCTATGCTTGACTGCTTGTTTGTAATTAAAATGTAAATGTAGGTTGCAAAATGAGATTGGCATTGTAGTCAGCATTATTTAAGTACCTATTGAAAGAAATTTAGGTGTATTACATGGCAATATTTTCTAGTAAGCGAGGAGAGTCTGCGGCCTTTGTCTTGTGTCTTTTACCTGTATGATATAATGCCCCTTTGAATTTGTGGCTGTCTAATGAATGGTGCCAGTCGGGAAATGTTAACTACTAAGAAGCGTGTTGCATCTATAGATGTGCACAACCTGACCTCTTTCATAAGACAACAAAAAGTTGAAAAATTCTTTGGGTATGTGATGTCTAAGAACAAAATAAATTCTATGTGATACCACAGTTTTACTTTCACCTCCTCCAAATGAATTGAAGGAATGCTGCTTGTTTAGGATAAACCAGTTTTTTTATAGTCACACAGATGGACTGCAAATGAACGATAAGTTGTACTTTACATATTGATTTCTACTAAGGCTTTTGAGATGATTATGGATATGTTAGCGACCTTTCGATTTGAGGCTTCTTGTTCTAGATTAAATCCACTTTAACTGTTTTCTTTTGCAAAAAAAGAAAGAAAAAAGAGGGGGGGTGGGTGATCTGTGGTGGGATTTTATTCACTAAACAGCATCAACTAATTGCTAGGTCAATACAAAATTGCTAAAAATGACCTCTCCCTTTTAACTGAAGTTCATCATAGTATATAGTGCTTTGAGTTCCAAACTATTAAGTGCTTCAGTTCTTCCTTCAGAGCAGCTGTGAATCCTTTCTTCCCATACCTCCCACTAGATACACATTTTTATTCCTAAAGTTTTAATGGACCGCCATAAGAATTAGTTGCAGCAACGTTTGTGCCAGAAGATGTGGTAGACACATTCAATGGACCGCCACCTTTGACATTCTTAAGCCAAAATTTCACTTGCATGTGGAGAAAATAAATACTTTCTGCTGTTAATCCATTGAGAATAACAATAATGAAATAAGAGAAGGAATAAAATGGACCAGGCATGGTTTTGGACTAGTACATGATTTTATAAAGCACTATGCATAGCATTATGATGAGATAAACAAGTCACCAATTAAGTACCTCTTTATACCAATATATTTATAATAGTCTACCCTCTAAATACAAATTAACTTAAGTTGGAAAAAGTAAAAACGTGTGTCTTGTGGGTGTTATGAAAAAAAAAAGTATCCTTCCCACTGATCTTATGAGGGTATCTTTCAATGTTCTAGGCATTACCCACTAAACTCCAAACAGGTTTAGAAATATGTTTCAGTGATGTGACGCATGAGGTAGGCGTGGAAGTGACACTTGACACACAAGTTGTCCCCAAGAGAGATAGATTTAAGAATTTGGGGTCTCTGATCCATGGAAATGGTGAGATCAATGATGATGTCACATATTGTATTAGTGCAGCATGGATGAAGTAGAGGCTTGCATCTGGTGTTTTGTGTGACATGAATGTACCACCAAAACTAAAGGTATGTTTTACAGAGTGGTGGTTAGACCGGCTTTGTTGTATGGGGCTGAGTGTTGATTAGTCAAGAACTCAATGGTCCAGAAGATGCAAGTGGTAGGAATGAGGATGTTAAGATAGATGTGTGGACATATTGGGAGTGATAGGATTAAGAATGTGGGTATCCGGGATAAAGTAGGAGTGGCCTCCGTGATTGACAAGATGAGGAGGAGAGATTGAGGTGGTTTGGGCATATGATGAGGCGATGTGCGGATGCCCCAGTTTAGAGATGTGAGAGGCTGGATATAATGGAGTTGAGGAGAGGTAGCGGTTGGCTGAAGAAGTATTGGGGAGAGGTGATCAGACAAGATATAGTGCATCTTCAGCTTACCGAGGACATGACCTTGGATAGAAAGGTATGGGGTTAGAGATAAGGGTAAACGGTTAGTAGGTAGTTAGGGGTTGTCGTATTACTAGCCTTTTCATATAGTCTTTGGTTTTTTGTACCTGTTATCACCTGGTATTATTGTAGTTCTTAATTTTGATATCTCGCACCGCCAGTTGTTTACTGTGTTTCAA